TGCTGCTCATCATCGTCTCGAAATGCCAATACTGTTGAGCGGCACCATCTTTGTCAAAGCATGGATAACATTCTGTGCACCGCATCCCGCCCAACCCGACTTCCTTGGCAACACCGTTGGGCGTGCGCCGAAATTTCCACCTTGTTGGTTATGTTGACAGACAACACACGCCATGTTCTGGGTAGTGTTCCCAGGAATCCTGGGCACGACGAGCTGCAGCAGCGGTTTTGTCGGAAGGGTCCTCAATGTCATGATCGAAAGCATGAGCAAAGGGGTGATGTTCCGGTGAAAGCCGCACGTTCTCCGCAACAACATGTTCGCATCCGAGATACCTGCCAACCGCGGTAGGTGCGTCCATGTCAATTTTAGACGACATCAATTCCCACCCTTTGGCCATGTTCTGGACCGGTCCTGACATCTTAAAGTCATCGACATAAACTGCAAGAAATTATATCTTCATAACGCTTTTTCCATAGACCCCCCGAATCCGGGTGACCGTAGAATAAGCTGCACCACCGGATCGCTGAACTTCGAGGCCCAACATTTTGGCCAGCGATATTTGGGGAGGCGCGCACATGTTTTGATGCCCTTGCATACTGTTTTGTGCAATTCCCAGGCATTGCCTCATAAGCATCAATGGCCTTGGCCGCTTCCATGGTGGAAGGAGCCGATCCAAGTTCTGCAAATAGAGCTTTTCGTCTTCCACGTTGTTTCCCTGAAGCACGGCCCTACCGTTGAACTTGCGAAGAGGTTTCCCTTTTGGAGTTCGCTACCTTCTTCGACACAAATTTCGAACATTTTGCCAACGTGGACCTTTTCACCTCTGCTTTTGGCCTCCCTGACAACCTGCAACCATTCACGCACGGTGTTGTAATCCCATGCTCTCTTACTTTCAAGGTTATTCTATTCAATATCGATTGACTTTTGGGCGTCAGGGTTGCTTCCTATCTCTTTCCGCCCCACCGGTCTGGCGACCGGTGCATGAATAACTGGATGTAAATGGGCTCGAAGAACTTTGCAACGATGTTGCCCAACTCCAGGATCCAACGAGTCCTCAACGACATTCTCAGTTGAACAGTTCCCGACGCAAGGTGTAGTTGGCATAACAGGAACGTTGGACAAATCATCCTCCACTCCCTCTTGTACCACTGAAGTTGCCGGCTTGGTCTTGGAAGAAGAAGCTTCCGGGTCCTCGCAAAACTGGATTCATCAGGAAAGGCCTTGCAAGCTCTCTCACAGTCCTCCTTGATGATGGCAAGTCTCCGTTGCTTCGTTGACATTGTTTTCGGAGTGTCAGGTTTGCTTGATCCCGAATACATCCTAGCTCTGACACCCCCCGCATCTTCAAATCAATGACTTTGACCATTTTGATGTGACGCAGCTCCTTTATGGAAGCGTCTTCAACGAGCGTCTCAAGGTTTTCGGCAAGCTCCCGGTCATCCGTGAGATCCTCCTGACCTGGCATCTCTGCCGGCAAGTCCTCCTCCTAAGCAGCGCATCCAATGCAGCTGGGTCAGGCGTCTCGGGAGCATACTCTAGCCCCGGCATGACACCATTCATGTGCAATAAATGCCGTTCCACCATAGGGAAAGAAAATTTGCCAGCCGGACATTTGATCTGGTTAACCCTCAAGGGAGCGATTGTTTGGTCATAGCCCTTCTCCAATCCCGCAAGGGAACGACTAGGAACTCATGACGCCATACAAAGTCAGGATGAACTGGATATCCCAGAAAAATTCCCGCCCTGGACGTAGGTTCAAACTTCAAAGGCTTCTTCGGTCGATTTCTCGGGTGAGTCCAAAATTGATTTGACAACCGAATGGCAAATATGGTCCGGGAAAACCATCACCGAAACGTACTTTCCAAGGAGAATGCCGATCTGGGTGGCCATTTATGTTATGTGCCGTGCAATAATGCTTAGAAGCATATGGCCAATACGTGTGGTGCAATTCAGCTTGTTCAAGATTCGCCCTCGTGCCCTCGATGGTCCCTCTGACATTTCTCCCTGCAATGGCATTCGTTTTGGGAGACATAATTTGTGCTTTGAACGTGTTTCCATTCCATCTGATCCACAGCCTTCACGAGTTCGGGAGCTCGGTCGCTGTAGAAGATGTTCACGGTCTCTCCAGCACAAAGTGATTGAAAGCCATTGCGCATTGATGTGAGGTTTTCCGTGCCGCGGGGTACACGTAACGGAAAACCTTTGATTGGTCAATATCAATTTCACGGTCATCTGAAGTAATGAGATGGTCTGCCGTCAGATCGCCAAACTTCTTAGCCTCGACTTGAGTGGATCCTTGATGGGTATTTGCACAAGTTTCGCAAAAAAAGGGTTCTTGGAAGTGTGACACATCAAGCGCTGAATCGACTCTTCGCCGCATTCTTTCACCCTCATTAGTCACAAATGTTTCCTCCAAGGTTTCGGGTTCTTCATCATGATGACCAAAACCTCATCTTCGATCTCAATTGGAGCTGATGGCAAAGTCGTGACTTTTGGGATGTTCTGAGATAAGCCGGAACAGCACTTTTCGTCTCAGACGGAATGAAAGGTACATTGTCTTTAACCTCAAGCGCGATGCGCGTTCTATCCGGTAACCTGAAATAAAGACTGCCGTGTGCTCTCCAAACAAAATCATATCCATCTTTCAGGCATCTCATACCCACGAACAACACGGATGGAGCTTCGCCAAGAACATATGGTCGAAGAATACTCCCGGTCTGACTGATCTTGACATCTGTTTGTTCCGTACCAACGATGCTCCCATTTGTGCAATCCATGGAATATGAGAAGAATCCATTGGTACTGTAGCCGAGCAACAACAGCATTTCTTTTCGGAGGGACGTCTTTGGGCTTTTCTGGCTCGCCCGTTAGGCCTGCAGAGATGCAGGAATCACAGCCAAAGTCAGGGTCGCATTTATATTGACACGAAGCCTTTGCACCCTTCAACATGCCTTGTACCATACTTTCGTGCATGGTGCCAATAAGCACGGCATCTGATACTGCTCTTTCATTGAACTTCGGAACATAGTTCGCCGGAAACTCTTGCGCAAACTTCTCGACGATGCAACGAAAGGCCAAAGCTCGCCGTCTGTCTTCTAGTTCTTGATGGACGGGTAGTCCAACAATTGTACACTAGGCAAGCAAGGATACGAGGCAACCGAACCCATGGTCGCGGCGCACACCATTGCTTTGAGTAAACACACGGCTGCACTACCGCCCTTCGACGAGCGGGTAGACTTTGGGGACTGAGACCCAGTTGCATCTTTCGAATCATGAGAAGATTGCCTGCTGCTTTTCTTCTTCTTCTCCTCCTTCTTCTTCTTCTTCTTCTTGTCTCTTGGCGACGCTGTCGGTGTATCCCCACTAGCGATCTTTTCGGCTTTCGGGGCAGGCGTGACTTTTGTAAAGCGACAGTCAGCGCCATAGGCGCATTGGCCATTTTGAAATTTAACACATAAACCCTTGGGAACTCCAGGAACGGCAGGATTGTTCTTCCTTTCCAAATGGTTTCTTGCTGCTTCGATCAGGAACTGGTAGGTGTGCTTCCCTCCTGCGCCCGTTCATGTTCGTTGAGGTCGTGAGTGAGGGGGCGGTATTTCCTGATCTGCCTGTGGAACAGGGCCTCAAGTTGTTCATACCAGCAATGACTGAATCCCATCTCGTCAGGCAATTCTTCAAATCTTCGTTGATGAGCTGAACAGATATCAAATCCTCGAAATCGTAAATAGCAACGTGCTTGATGTTCGCGCTGAAGTGTTTGTGGTTCATGAAGAGAATCTGGCGGCCTCTCGCGTATCTCTTCTCCTTCGCCTCTTGCTCTTTGAAGATGGCTTGCCGCGCGAGGTCGCCCTCCAAGACGTTCGTCAGTGCCGATGCCAACTTTGCATCTGAGTCACGAAGAACTTCAACCGTCTGACCAGGGACCCAGGTCGCCTCAACCCACTCAAATGCCTTTTCGGGTTGATCAGAAGTGGCAACAACAGCATCCCTAACTTTGATCCTCCAATTACGGTACTGTTCGGGTTTCGGAACACGGGGGATATGAACTCGATCGCCTTCCTTTACACGAACGCGTTCCGTTGTCGGATCGCTGGAAGATCCTAAGTGCTTCAACAGCTTTCGTCGAAACGACTCATCAGACGCTGTACACGATGAGGATGAGGAAGATGAAGGGGAAGAGGATGGGTCCCGTCGCCTCCGTCGGCTTCGGTCCTTCTTGCTCTTCTTCTTCTTTTCTTCTTCTTGTCCTTCTCATCCCCGTCATGTCCATCATCACCAGGCCCACCGTTTCCGGTAGCGGCATCTGCCGCGACCCTGATCTTTGCTGTAGGGGTCGCTCCCGACCTTCGTCCAGCCGTGCGCGGGTAGAAAGTCTGGGTGGAGATGCAACCGCAGGTATTGGGGATACAACCAAGGGAGTTGCTGGTGCTTGTTGAGCAGGAGGCGCAGTTGCCGGAGCGGCTTGGGCTGGCTGTTGTTGTTGACTGTTCATCATCTGCTCAACCATCGCCCGCAGCTCGTTGATCTGCCTCTCCTGATCGCTGATGCTGCGATATTTCATCTCGGCCTCTCTCTCAGACTTCAGAGCGTTGGCAAGTTGTTCCGCATTCATTTGCATTTCCCGCCGCATAGCGTCAGATTGACTTTGAAGTCCAGCACTAATCTCGCTGTGTCGTGCCTCTGTTTCGCCTGCGATAAGCGCGCTTTTCTTGAGCCATGCGTAGCGAGTAAGACGAAGCTACGCCAGTGAGACACTCACGCAATTGGGGTCAATGAGGTTGATAAATACATCACATGGTAAAATACACACAATGCAAGCACGCTTGTGTTCGTGCTCTTGAGAATGGTGTAGCGCTTGGAAGGCTGTCAATACCACCTGTACCATGCACTTTGGGGTTCCAAGCGTGATGTCAAACTGCGTAAAACATGCTGTTCTGCCACCACCCTTCAGCCACCTTTGGCCGTTGCGGGATGTGAGGGTCCTGGTTTAAACACCATTCTCAAATGAGCGAGCCTGCGGAAGTAACTCGGCAAGGGCTAAGTCGAAGCGACATGACTCTGAGGCTGCGCACGCGCAACTTCAGCTCCATGAGGTACGTGACCACAAATGCCCGCCGCCGGAGCAAATAGCTCCTAGAGCACGGCAGGATATGTAGAGCACCAGTCAACACATTGCCCGCTCAAGCAAGCAACCCTCCATCAAACAGATTCGGGTAAGCGCAAGTAGTGGAAAATATGTTTTGGGAACCGACCGATCACCAAAGTATGAGCACGCACTTGTCAATTCTCCCCTGAGAGCCCCGCGGCATGAAGGCGCGAAACTGCGCGTGAGAATCCAAGGTCAGGCAGGTCACTGCCTGAGCTCAAGCACGTCCAACAAGCTGGAATAGGAGTGCTTGGAGAAGCGCGTAGCCCATTTCCTCGCCCACGAGTTGGATTTCCTTCCGAAGCCTAGCGCCAAAAGTGGTCTGTCAAAATCTGTCAAATATCTGAATGAAACAAGGCAAGTCCAATCAGCAAGCAGCAAGCAGCGCCTATCTGCAGCGTCAACGGAGTTGTCAAAGCGAATGCGAATGCGGTTCTCTGCCTGGGTGTTTGCGGCAGAAGCATTGCTCAAAATTCCCGCAATCCTGTAGCAACACAGCTCATGCTCACGTCTGGGGCCACATTGGCTGACGTGCTGCGTCGCATTAGTTGGTGTGCAACAGCTAACTTTCTGCTTTGCCTCCAGGACCGAGGCTCTCACCAAAGGGCCGCCACTGGGACAAGGCACAAAGTCGCCCTTTGTGCTGTCAGCACCTTGGGCTGGTGGTGTGCAGGGCGGTCCAAGCACGGGACTAGGCTTCCAACTGCCGCTCTGCACACGCAGGTTGGACCTGAGGCATTGCCCCGGGCCATGCTGATGCAGGGCAGCCGTGCTTTACACTTGCGATGCACATGTGGAAATCAAATGTCCAAGCAAATGATTCACTGATGCTCGGGGTTCTTTGCAGAGGGAGGATGTAATAACCTGTCATCGCACGTCACATTCGCAATTTTCTGATCCTGGGTGCAACCACCCTATTGCTCTGCTGGGCATGTGGCACGCTGACCCCAAAGCGTGACAAAGTCTCCTTGGCTGCTAGCAGGTGGCACACTTTGCTGGTGGCACTCTTGCTGGCAAGGCGCGGTAATTCGGGCCAGCTGACCTGGTCGGTCGACACCAAACCTTGGCACCCAGCAAGCGTGAGCTTTGGATCGGCCCCCCTGACAAATGTTGTAGCGGAGCTGGGCAACAAAAAAGGTGCATAATGGTGCTTTGTGTACGTGACCTGAGGCCATCTATTTTGTGTTTTCTGGTGTTCATGAAGGTCCTCTTTGATGCAGCCCCCTCATTGACGTTTGCCTCAGCGTAGCTTGCTTGGCCTGAATGGCATACACCTGCATGGCAAAGAAATGGGCTTCCGCGCAAATGCAGGGTGCCAGTCTGTTGATGGAGCTCGGCCGACTTTTCGGCAATACCGCGCTGCCACCCTGCCATTGCAACGGCCATTCAAGCCGGATTGCTCTCTGCACATGGCCAATGGCTAGATTGCACCAACGACCGTGCACCCAACAAGTTGTTTGATGCCTTGAGCGACGCTACGGCACAAGCTGCCAAGGCCTAGTGGGCACTCGATGGGAGTTTCGGGTGAGCTCAAACTCGCCTGGGGCAGATCTTGCACATGCCCGCCTGCATTGCATACCGATCATGCCCCGTGCGCTCGATCTAGTGTCGGGATTGAGCGAGGTACAAAAACCAACAAAACAAAACAAGCGATGAGTCATGATGAGTCTTGGATGAGTCTTGGGTCTGCCTGGTTCCTCTGTGAATGGGCCTGTTTCACCGGCAGTCAACCCCTCTGGGGTGCAAACAGTATAAACCTGCGCAGGGCTGTGCTTCTGGAGCAGCTTCATGAGAGACGGTACTTGTGTGGACGGCAAAATCGCCTCGCAACAGGAAACCCGGATATGAAGCGGACCATCCACACACACGCATATGCACAGTTACACACACTGCACGTATACTCAGTAGTTCAAACAGAATCAACACTGGGCCGCCAATTGCCACAATCATTCCCAGCAGGCCACGCGATTGATTTCTGAGCGACTGCAAACACAGTTGCCTTCACAAACATTGTGCAGCCCAGTCTGGTTGCGTGATCCTCGGCTGCCAAATCACTTGCAGCTCTGGCGTGCGCTGAACTGGACAGCTGTCTTTTTCCAACCATCCATCACTTTTGGATCCTGGCACGGATTCCTCTCGCTTCTGGTGTGTTGAGGCTCAAGCGACGCCCAGCTGTGCTGGGGAGATGCATGCCCCAAAGGCACTGACCTCACAGAATCTTCATACTCAGGATGTTATGCTTTGGTTCCATCCAGCACGGGCTGCAAACCTACACCGGAACCCTCACATGCAAACCAATATGCTCACGATTGACATTGCCCGACCTGTTTGGGGGGGGGGGGTTGTCAAATCAACAAAGGTGACACCCATTAGTCCTTACCACAAAAAAATGCGGAGAGCCATCTTTCTGAGCCCAGCGCTGAGAAGCTTTCCGCCTGCGCAAAAAGTGGATCAACAGTGACCGGAACACAATGCCGCACAAGATCCCCTTGGGAGGCCACACGTGGGACCCTCTCCCATATTCCATCCTCGCCTCTTCCGCTGTCCGGTCCTTGTCCCTCTGCATTCGCACGAAAGTTCCGCCACATACTTCGATATTTGCATTAGCAGCACTCATCACCTCGCCCAAATGAGACCATACAGGTGGCTTTCCTAAGGCCCCCGGGAAAAAAGGACTTGGTACGCCTTCAGGCTGAGCAAGGCTTAGTAAGTCTTCAGGCCATATTTGGGGCCATAATGGCTAAGCTGGGCGCACTTTGGAGTGCCTAGGGGCCACGCTTCGGCCAGCTGACACCAAAGGTCACTGCCATCTGAAGCACTCACCTGCAAACATCACTCGCCATGCTTGCTTTATGCACTGGGCTGAATGCTGGCCTTTCCAGAGAGGGTGAGTATAACTCGCTTCATCTCCTGCCACCAACATATGGGCACCCATATGTCAAAATGACATGTGGAAGCTGAACAGTTTGCGAAATCAGCAATTTTGAGCTTCGGATGCTTCCTGTGGATCTGCATTTTGCTCTGGAGGGACTTGGCTGAGCGAACCTCAGGGGCGAAATCACTTGCAACTGGAAGCTGCGAGGCGGCAGAGATTCATGGGCCAAAGGAAGCAGGTCAACCTTGTTCAGCTCCGAGATACCGGTGGTTTTCTTGAAATGCTGGGCTCAGAACGACATAGGCGAGTCCGAGCAAGGCTTGTGCCAAGCCGGCGCCACATTGCAGATGCGGTTTGCTTAATGTTGGGTGATGTATATTTGCTACACTGCCTTCAGCAAAAGTGTATCTCAGACTTGCGAGGCTCCATGCTGGTCAAGACATTGTTGACTTGTGAATCTCTCGTTCTGTAAGAGCGGTATATTGCCACTTTCCGCGCGGTGAGTATTTCGTAGCAAGGGCTCAAACGGCTGCAGCAGCTCACCATCACAACTCAACGCTTGACGCCAGCTCGAGCCGCAAACATAGGGACACATTGTCCGCTACATGCCATGACATGCCTGCGTTGCATCCACAGCAGCAGTTGCTGCTGCCCGAAGGGCAGCATTCCTGGACCGGCAAGGCTGGAAGGAAGCAACTTGCATGATTTGCGGTTACATCTCGTCAACAATGACCCTACTCACGCTTGCAAAACCGCATGATCTCCAGCAATCCTAACGCGCAACAACACAAACACAGCTGGACATGCCAGCATGCTGCCTGCGATACGAGAAATTGGATCTGGGCCCGGAGCTCTGTTTCCGTGAGATTGGCTGGCGATGCTTCATCAGCCTGGTGTCGATCGAATCTCCTTTCTGCCACGGAATCTCGCCTTTCCACGCTTCCCATCCTTCCCCCTATATAAGCCCCAGCAACACGCTTTGCACGTGAAGCACCCTCTCTGGCAAAAAAAAAACACCCCATTTGCGTTCATGTATTTATTTTATTTATTCATTCGCGCTTCCACATCTGCTTAGCATTGACCAACCCTGCCTCTGCTCCCACTGGCCTCAATCGCGCTTGATGAACCGGGAGCAGGCTGTGTGACTGAATCGAAAACATGCGACCTATCTTATTAATCTTATAGATACATCAACATGATGTCCTTCCCAGAAACAGTGGAACCTGACAGTCCAAAGGGGGGCGGGCGGAATTCCCTGAGGTTGCATGCGGTTGAATGGGGTAACGGCCCGTAAGAGCAAGGTTCAACTGCGAGCACTGAGCTTGTGGAGGCCCCTGCCTCCCGAGCCAGGACCTCAGCATGCAAAACTGAAGGTTTTCACCCCCAGGTTGGAGCGCAAATGCCGCGCAAACGTCGTCCAGCCCCAAATATGAGCATCCTTTACCCGACCAACCTCTGTGGCTTAAGCGAGCGCCTCACTTCTGAGTTCCTGGCACGCGTGTCTCAGGGAAGTAGCCATGACGCTCGGGTGCACCAACCACGCGGCCTTGACAGGTCAACGGGTTCACAAAGAATGTAACCCACCAGCATTGATTGCACGGGTCGCACGAGAACCAATATATATATATATAGATTTATTTCTCTAACGCATTTGCACCGTCTTCATCGCTTCGAGTGGGTAAAGCACCTCTGTACGAATGATGTACTTAACACCCGAGTGGATGGCGGTGCCCTCATGTAGCGGCGAATCCGGGTGGTAGCCGTGCGGAAAACACAATGCACCACCTTGAGGCGTTCGCACTGCCACAGCAGCGCTCTCATCCTCCCCCACCAAAAAGCGTGTGAAGCCTCCCTCGTAGTCTTCTGTCAGCAAGATCAGGAAGGTTAGCTGGCTGTACCGGTCGCCGAAGGCATCGCTCTGAAAACCTTTGTCAGTGACCCTCGAGCCCGTCCAGGCGCCATCTGTGTGGGGCTTGAAG